GCTTGTTGTAATCTCTAGGGTTTTAATGAATCCCCCGTTTGTTGTATTTGATGCAAGTATTACATCTTCTGCTTGACTCCTCAGCGCTTTCTTTAAATTGTGAAACAGACATCAATGTCTTAGCTTTCTTTACTTCAACAGACACTATGAGTGCTCACATTGCTGTAGACAAGGCCACAATTGCTAGTCATTTTCAAGCTAGCATGACTCATCGTGAATTAGAGGTCTCTTGAACTCCCCTGCTTGGACCCAGTGATAAAATATTTGAAAATGTGGGAAAGCACACAAATAAGAAAACCTTGCAATCGTAGGCAACTTGGGACAGTTATCGGGAATCACCTCACATGTCCCTCACACTTGTGACGTTGGTTACCATGTCAGCTGGATGCCAGGATGGGGGCCAAGGCACACTATGTCTCTGGCCTTATCATATGGACATCACCATCTGACTCTACTTTAGTTGTGTTTAGGCACCCCAGATAAAGAACAAAGCATTTCTCCAAATGGTGTGCTACTTCTTTTCTTTGGTGACCCTATGACATATGACCACAATGTAAAATTATTTCACATGCATCTGTATTTCAATTCAGGTAACCTGTTTCCAAACTCTTGTTGGTCCTTGAGCTATATATTACTTTACAAGCAGAGTCCTTGGGTGACACCTCGTGTAATATTTCATAGTGTGAACACAGTTTAGATGACTAAGAGCACATGTGGTTTGGAATCTCTTTGGCACTGAGAGTCATGGCTTATTTTGCTGCCCAGTGTGTATAGGTGGACTTGGACTCTGTGTCAGAGGTGGGTTTCATCATGAGTGGGTGTGCCAACCTAGTATTTATGTAAAAGCTCACCCTAAAGCTAGTTTAGCCATGTCTTCACTGGTTTCATCATTAAAAAGGTATGCGAGCTGTTGAGCGAACAAGGATGTACTCAACTGTGATGAATGGCTCTACTACCACTTCTAGATGATATCTGGGTGTGTGTTGCTTTTTGTTGTTGTTTTTTTTTAATCTGCACTCGGGCTCTCAACCAAATGATAAGCTGATAGCAAATCCAACTTTAGCTACTTGCACCGGCTGCATTAACTTGTGCTGGCAATGAGTCACTGTGGTCAGAGTAGATAAGTCAAAGTGGTACACTGAGATAAGAAATGTGATTGTCCTGTACAGCTGCAGAAAATAGCTTAGTTAGGTTGGAGTTCTGCATGTACCCTCAAACACAGTGTGTCACAGGGTGAACCAGACTTGTTTTCCTTAACTGCGTCTAACTTGTTCTACAGTTTTTGAGATTTGCTCCTCAGTTTGTACTCTTGTGTTGGCACTCAGCATTTTGAATGTTTACCTCAAACTCAAGGGAGCGAGTCCCTTTTATGTATTCTTATCCACACGGTCCAAGGGTATTACTCATTAAAAAAGAGCTGCTTATTCTCAGTGTGACTGTGTTGCTAACAGCTGCTACGGTCTCTTTCCCTCTGTGTGTGCTTTAGAAGTGCTGACTTCCCCTTCTCTCTTGATCATCCCTTGTTTTTTTGTTGTGCCTCTCCTTGGACGCTGAGCCTAAAGAGATAGCTGTTTTGCATATCGGAATATGTAAAAATGAGTGCCCTCAGTTCTATATTGGATAAGAAGATTAAAACAAGGAATACAAAATGACACAAATAGTTTATTTAATGTGCACATGGTTTGCATTTGCAGTCAGATTATTGGTGTGAATGTCACAAAATGATGTATTTAACTATCTGGAAAAAAGGGATAATCCATTAACCAACTTCCCATAATTAGAAAAGTAAGAATTGGGTGAACAAGTTTGAATTTGTTTGAGGAAAACCTTAATATGACCAAGTTTCAAATGTCAGGTTGTTGATTTGTGGAACATTTGAAGAATTCATAGATGATTCAGAGACTTTATTTTATATCCTTCCTATGGGTTTAATAATCAGTAACATTTGCAGCATGATGATGCTGCCACCTCTGTGTTTGAGAGTATGTACAATCTTCCTAAATAATGAAAAAAAAAATAATAATAACTTTGACTTCTCTAAATATAGTATCTCTATTATCATCGTGTCCGTCTCATCAAAACTGCACATTAAAAGAGTTTCTTTGTACATATTTATACAAGACTAGGCTTTGTAGTTATTATTTGTAGTTATTATTTCAGTGCCGTCCATCTCAGCGCACACATTAACCTCTGGGGAAAAAAAATAAAAATAAAAATACCTAACCAGAAAGTGCTGGTTAGTTTAATTTGCTTGCACAATCACTCAGAATACTTCTCTGTGTTAGACTGCTTTGCCCTTGTCTGAGACCTCCAGCTGAACTCACTCTCTTAGCACGATACAGTGACCAGAAAAGACCCCCGTGGAAGAGAGGAGTTCAAACAGAGGTAAGGAGTCAGAAGAATGTGGCCCCAACAGTGCTTTTAGGTACTGATCTCAAAATGTTCCATAATTGTAGGTTTTCTGATATCTTTGGTATAATAATAATAATAATAATAATAATAATGAAAAAAAATACACTTTTCACTAAGCATGTGTCAACCACATGGCTGTGTGATCCATACTTCTTAACTTAAACCCCAAAGGGTGCCTATCAAAGGTTTTAAGAATAGACTCCCCCAAAGAACACCACATGATAGATGAGCTTTTTGAAGGTAAAGTGTCAGCCACACTGACTGTAACAACTGTGCTGTATAATTAAGATTTAAACCATTGCAGTGCTGATCCTTTAATCTCAACATTATGCTCTAAATAAGAAAGAAATGCCATGGTCTATTATATCAAAAGCAGCACTGGGATCTAAAAGCGTTGAGATGAACTGCATTCAAATGAAAAGCAAACTTAAACAGCGGTGCTGTCAAGGATAGGCCATCTCTCAGTCCTTTTCGGCTGTTGTCTTGTCAAGAAGGCCCTCACAGGAACAAGATAAATTTAATTACACGTAAACAAAACTGACAGATGCAACGTGAAATGCAGACACCCAGCATGGAGGGCCTAGAATTCACTTAATCTGCGTTTCTCTTGTTATATAATCCCACACACGCACACACACACACGCACACACACACACACACACACACACACACACACACACACACACATCTCACATAGAGTCGTTAGAATTTGGATTTCATTTTTATGACAGCTGTTCTCAGTTTGAAACAGCAGCCGATGTAAACATGACAGGAGACATAAACATTTTTTTGGAACTTAGGAGCATATTTTTAAGGAATAATGGTAGACCATAAACTAATTTTATCATAGACTCATTTTAAAGTAGAACCTCTGAACCTTACTTGACAGGCATGCACAAATATAAAGCAACTTGTACGACCCTGCCAAGTGCTGTTATTATAATATGTCGTGCTGGATATTTAAAGTGACTCTATCACCAAGGAGCAAGAATATGTTGACTAAACATCACAGACAAAAGCATATCCTACTACTCTTTTTTTTTTTCTCCTGGCAGTAAAAACAAAGACAGGATTTTCCACAAAACACCCTCTTCTCCTGCAGTGACTTGATACATTTGATCTTATTAATCCTATGTTACATAAGCAGCTATAGATGATGAACACAGCACCAAAAAAACCCCAGAAACTTCCCAGCTATTGCTGACATAAGAGCTGCACTCTGTAGATGCACGGGTCGTCTCACTCTGCCAAGTCCGTCCAAATCTTGTTTCCCCGAGACTGAGGGAAGAGGGACAATGGCAAGGCAAACAGTGGCTATTTTCTACCCGGAGAGCTGGTGACAGCGAGCCTGTTTTGTCTTTGTCACGCAGATATAGACTGCAAGTCAGCACGGTCAGAGCGGAGCCAGAAGAGGCTCTGCCACCCCTCCTCTGTTCCCCCAGTTTTCTCCTCTTCATATTGTTTTTCTCTCTCTGTGTGTGTTTGTCAGTGGGAAACTTGTATTTACAGTAATCCTCAATGTACAACATTTTTATGAAATGTGTGCGCCGTGAAAATTCAGAAATTGTATGATTTCTTCTCTTTGATGGTAAAATTTCCTCTTATTAATTGGTCATTTATTTATTTTTAATCTTAATGAGACAGAATGTCTGGCTGACAGCTAGCTCAGCTGTGACCAGTCAACCTCAATCAAATCTCGGAGAGGGAGTAACACAGTCTGACACAACAGTGTATTTGTGTTTCAGCAATATTCTCTTTAATTGTAATTTGCCTTGAGTAGCTTTAGTCTGATTCTCTGACAACCTCAGAGGAATCTTGTTATTGTGAAGTCAGCTCTATTTTTCAATAATTAAAGGGCAAACATGATACAGTGAAATGGTTTTATGCTTTCAGGGTGAATTCTATAGAGAAAATGGAGTTGACATTTTCCAAACCAAGCTATAAATAAAAATCAGCCGTTTTGTTATCTTGTTCATGAAAAGGGAAGAAACCCATATCTAATTCAGCAAACTATGTAACACTCACCTCATGAGATCATGATGAGATTCAAATTACAATGTACTTTTATGATTTAAGGAACACAATACTCATTTTTAGACTTTGAATAATTACAATTTAAAGTGGCCCAAATCATAGACTGCACGGATTTTGTTTTCCTTCTATGATTATCTCGCGTCACCTAGTGGCTTTTACGGGGCGGTGCACCTCACTGTCACCATCGTTGCCAGTACACTCTCTCTCTCTCTCTCTCTCTCTCTCTCTCTCTCTCTCTGTATATATATATATATATATATATATATATATATATATATATATATATATATATATATAGTCACTGCCTTTGCTGTAATTCTGAAAAATTGTAGAGTTGAAAGGAATTGAATTCAAATGATTTAATTTTAATCAAAACAGTTTTGTGATCCATATCACAATTAAAATTAATGTATTATATGTCTTAACCCCTATCCAGTCCAGTTCTAGTTTGTATTTGTAGATCAACCAGTTTTACAGTTTTTGTAGCGCATTCGTTTTAACTACCAACATGATATTTACGTAACTTTGCTGTGGAACCATTGATACCTAGAAACCGTTTACCCGCGGAGTCTTTTACAGTAACTCCACAACTTCTCTAGCAAAGATGGCGGCTTCCATAATTGAGACATGCCATGTAGCATGCAGCGCAAATAGGACTCCAAATGTTGTTTCTTGGGGTCGGGGAGGGACAGTGGCTTTCGGGACATGCAATTCAGTGGCCTTGTACGACCCCCAGGTAATAAAATCTGTAAAACATGTCGGTAGTTTAGTTGTTTTCTCGCTGCTGAGTGCTGATGCTAATGTTATTCGTGTGGAGTGTTTGTTTAAAACGCCGAAAAAACAACAACAAACATTTGGGTTAACATGAATAGTTTGAATTTCAGGAAAGAAGAGTTGTCGCTTTGCTGAATGGACACAAAGGGAGAGTTAATGCAGTCAAGTGGGTTCACAAGAAAGACAATGGTGAGTGTGGAGAAGTTTTTTTTTAATTCTTATTTTATTATGATTGTTAAGTACATTGTACAAAACAATGAGGTGTGTAGAGTGCGGGGAAGTAAAGTTAGCATGCAAACTCAATGCAGAAACATTAGTTGGAAAAATTTTACCAAATATGACAACAATGTGTCAATACTTGTTAGTCATGATTTAATGTCCAGGATAATCTTCAGTGCATCCGCAATAATTGACAGTTATTAATTCTTTATCTTTACCACTTCATTATCTAACTTAAATGTACTGGTTTCCTAGAAAATCTATTTCTAGGAATACTCTCTCAGGTCCAACTTTGTGTAGAATTCCTCGGTAGTGATAACCGTGGTTAATAACATCAGGTTCACACTATTGCACAATCAATCAATCAATCAATCAATCAATCAATCAATCAATCAATCAATCAATCAATCAATCAATCCCTATAACTATATTTTCACTAACAAGAAAACCAAATCAACGACATCAAAAAGAGGTGAACATTAAACATTTTCTATTACAGTAAATTCATTTTGGTGTAGTAAGCAATATATTTGATTCTTTTGGCAGGCTACGCCACCTGCTGTTACAAATGGATAACGGCATGTGGCCACATCTCCGCATCAGTTCTGACACGATGTTTCTAAAAGTGACGCTTTTCAGATGTGCGCTTCTCTTGACTAAAAAAAATAAAAAAAATAGAAAAAAAATCTATGTTGGTATACCAACATAGATTTTTTGACCATTCCTTGATTGATGGACAGCTGTGTCCATAAGGTGGTTGGTGATGTCTTTCTGTGTTGTTGTTGTGCCAGAACACACGTGAATACCAACAAACTGCCAGAGCATCATCTTTATGTGGATACTGACACTTACTGGTGATCACTTTATCAATGCATTTGTTTAGCTATCATATATTTGTTAAATTGCTATTGAGTGTATTAGGGAACCACTTACTTGTTGAAGTTTTTCATTATTGTTTTTTTTTTTTTTAATTTTAGCTACAGTTGAAAATAGTCAGAAGCAAAACTGCATTCCCTATCTAAAGTGCCTGTAAAACACAATACACTACATTTTCCAGTGAGTTCAGCAGTTTTATTTTGAAAGCAATAACTTGATCACACATTGGAGTTGTTTTTAATTCAATAGCATTACATTTTATACAAGTCGCAAAGACAGTAAAGCACCCTTTCACTTCCTGCTTTTGTGTTGTGAAACAGTTTTGGTTCAATAGATTATGGCAGTTTCACATGTTTTACATTTAGGTTTTATTTACTTTAGTGTTGTTGTTTTTTTTCTAAGAATTTTTCTTTTAATTTTACATTTCAAAAAAGGTTCATTTTCTTTTCACCATAATTCAGAATATTAGACCCACTTCACTACTTCCTTGTGGAATATTTAATTATGTTTGCATTAATGTGTTGTTTCCACAATTTAGGTCATCTCACTGACCTCACCTAATATTTGCATTTAGATTTAAGAAGTCCTCTTTGCTGCCATAATGCCATGTAATAATGCCATGTATGAATTTATTTATTTATTCAATTATTTGTTGTTTTTTTGTAAGGTGACCCTGTGTTTTCTCTTTATTGAACCAATTCGTCGACAACGAGTTGTAAGTTAATTCCGTTGCGTTGATTTTATTGTCGCAGCATCAGAGCGTCATGTCGTCTCAGGAGGTTCAGACAATCGGATCATCCTCTGGGAAGCTCAACATGGGAAGGTAAATTGCCTACATTTCAACTTTCCTGGGTCTCGGGTGGCTTCAGCTGCTGCCAGTGCTTGGATTAGAAAAAAATAAAATAAAATTCTGTGTTTGTCCGAGTGTTGTGTTGTGCAGATGATATTTTTATGTAATTTTGGAGATGAAAAATAGAAGCCTTGAATACAAATGTTTTGTGTAATGCCACAGTTCGTCCAGTCAGTGGAGTGTAAGGGCCACACTGGTCCTGTCAATGCTGTGGATGCCGTCTACCTGGAGGACTCTAAGATCCTCATTGCCTCTTCTTCGTCTGACTCCACAGTGAGATTATGGCTCTGCAGTGACAACAAAGAAGGTAATAAACAAGTAAAACAGACATGAAAGGCATTTGGAAATTATTTATCACCATCTCAGAAACCCAGAAGTTATCGGAGTGATGTGTGTATTTTCATGAGCCTCACTGCTTTTTTTATTTTTATTTTTATTTATCTTTTAATACACTCCCTCTAAATTGTTCACATCTGTATTTCACTGCTTAACAGAAAGTGGAGAAATAACTGTTTCTCGTCAGGGGGCATTATCTGTAATTTTTCTCAAGTGTGCTATTATGAAACCTCTGCTGAGGAAAGCAACTCGGATCCATCGGTAATCAATGTTTATAGGCCAGTTTTTAACTTCCACTTTTCTTGGTAAAAAGGCTTGAATTGTTTCAAATGATAATTCACTTTACAGTATTGAATTACAAGCCAGTTTTTTTCTCCAAGCAGAATCACCGAAGAGAAATGGCTCCTGTTAAAACCGTCAAACACCACAGAGTCAGCAGTGACTCGTAAAGAGCTCCTAGTTCCTATTTCGGTCCCGTTTGATCTTATTGCTGCATTCGACATTTTCTAATTTGATGGCTGCATACTTCAACAGATTTAACAGGTTAAGTTTGTAACTGCTTTTTATTACACCTTGGATAAGAGTTTCCATGTTTCAGCTGGTAGTTTGTAGTCTGCAGAAGGATAAAGCTAAGATTGCAATTTGGGTCATTGCCTGTTACTGTTACTCTGAGCCATGTCACCTATACCCTGTTGGTGTTACTACAGAAATGTATCTGAACTCTCATAGGTTTACGGTGGCTGACAGAATTATTGATACTCTAGGGGGGAAGGTGTCTATCAGAACTTGAAGTAAATTCATCTTTGAATGGGGAAGCATAAGTGCTATATATTTATTTGATGCCCACTATCTTTGGACAATGTTCCCTGCTTTAAATTCAGTACCGTTTTTGGATTCAAAACTCCACCAAAAATGTTAGTATTTCTACAGGTAGTGGGTCAGTTGTTGTAATACTTTCTTTATTTGTTGTGGTCTAATTTCTGAGTTTATGTACTCTTCTCCTTTTTACCCATATCTTCAACATGGTTCATATTAGGCTTGAGCCAGTATAAAATTCTCACTTTATGCCGTTTTTTGGTTTTTTTTTTTAATGGTATAAAACAAAACAAACAAAAAAACAGTGACACAAAAAAAGAGATCTAGCTGATTTTTATTTAATCCAGAAAACCAGTAATTACTACTGCAGAAATGACATAAAGCTGAATATTTGAAATTATAGTAATGTTGTAAAAACATTTGTTTATTATATTATTTTGTTACGTAGGCTTCGAAAAACTGTAAACCTTTTAATAGGGACCCATTTTCTAAACCTCAAATCCTTCAGGTTCAGTGGGATCGGGGGGGGGGATATGATTCCAAGGAACCAAATTCTTCTTTTTTGTACAAAAGGGAACCAACCCTGCCTGAGCAGCAACAGGTGGAGGAGGGGGGACTTTAAACCATAGAAATGTTGTGATGGAAAATTTTCATCAGTTTGAACTGTAACTTTTTTTTTTTTTTTTTTTATCTCTACCTTGATAATATTAAGCAGACCAAGAATAGTTTATTTATGGTTTATTTTAATTGCAACACTGTAAGATGCTATTAATGATATTTTGTGTTTGGTTTGTAGTTCATTGTTCTCTCTGTACCTTATGACTAAAGTAGATATCAGTTTCACTATGTGCAAAATATTCTTCTTGTCTTGGCTGATTCAATCTGTTATTAAGCTTGTGTACATTTAAATGTTTTTCCTTCTTTATGAAATATTGATTGAACAAATATTTTACGCTACATTTTATTTCAGCGGTCAGTTGATGTTAGGGGGCCAAACTGAAAAATACAATCCCAGTGATTCCTATGTGGTTTTGACAGAAATCTGTTTTGACACCTGGGTGTCAGTGGAGCTTCAAGTTATCGCCTTCATCTGCTTTTCCTCTTTTCAAGTTGTCTGGGATTTGAGTTTCCTATTCCTGAGTGTTTTTTTTTTTTTTTTTTTTTGCTGCCTTTCCCATCCAAAAGACACAAAGAAAACCTCCCC